CCCCCGTCCTTTTTATGTGGGAGTCCCCTAACCCCGGGGATATGACCCTAATAAAAAAAGAAACGTATGGAACACTTTATTAACACTCATTCGAACAATAAAAAGCAGGTGCTCAGTGTCACGATTGAGACCCTAAAACACCGAGGCGTGAAAAGTTCAGGCTCTCAAGTTAAGTGTACTCAACGAAAATGTAGAGCTCGATTCAATGAATGCCAAAATTCTGTTTATCTCGTAGTTATTTTAAAGTCAGTGCCCTCTAATCTTTTTTTCATCTTGGAAAATGCCAGACTTCCTGTCAAATCACCTTCCGTGTTCATATTCTACGCTACTCCAGCTTATACTTACTTTTCAAAGTCGACAGTAAACAGTAAAATACCCGTAAAGAAGTTTTGTTTGCTCGTGGGTTTCAAATTTTGACACGCTTGAAGTGTTTAGGTAAACAAAAAACGTTCAGTCTTAAGTCATGGCTTTTAAGCACGGATTGAAAAAGAAGACTTAGCACAGGTGGCGAAGGTACCTTTCAGGTGTAATTTCAAGTTTGTAAGCGCTTGTGAGAATACTTTAAATATTTAATCCCTGGAAAGCCCGAGGTTGAAAGATAAAACTAATTGCTCTGTGAATACCAAGCCTTAGCGGATTCATTTGTTCTTCCGCCATGGTCGAATTAGGTAGCAAAAAGTCTCGGCCTCTGTGTAAACAGATCTTTGCAGTTCTGACAGTGTTGTGTGCTCTTGGAGGTGTAATATATTTCACTGGGTTTGGTAAACAGATCCACGAGGCCATAAACCAAATGATCACTCCACATCAGGAACCACAATTGCAAAGAAGAAGGTACGATATCACGGAGAATTTTCAAACATGGGTTAATGTTTAGAAAATATTTTGATTCAATTTAGTCAATAAATCAATCAAAAACTTTATGTAAGCACTTTATAGTTAGAAAACTAATGAACCTGTGGCTATCTAAAAAAATAGCTTAGTGTATTTCAGAGGCTAGAAGACGAATTTAACTCTATCTTCGTAACATGATACGACAGGTTTTCTTGTGATGTAATCTTTACTTTCAAATTTGTAAGCAATCTTTCAAAGAGTAAGCAATCTTTGACTCACACGACATGTTCTAATTTCTGCGACAGGTACGCAAGGTATTTGCGTAGGGATGGCATCGGTCATCAATGCCCGTTTTACTGTTCTATGAAGAAAGATCTGTTCCAATGTTATTGAAGGAACAGCTTGCCGGAAGGTTAATTCGCTTTAAATTTCCGTCTAGTGAAGCGACTAGAAGCCACCCCAAAGCAGGGAGTTACCGGCAGCATTTTTTCGGGTTTAAACGGCTTCAATCGAAGCTACTGGAGAGTTTTAACGCAATTACAAGACCAGTTTGAAGCAATTGTGAATCGCAGTTTCTTCATCATGTTGTGGCCTGTGTTAAGACGCCCTCTCTGGAAGAAAAATTCGAAGACACCGTGCTCTCTCTAATTTTTTCTTTCGGGGAGGACGGCTGTAACACAGGGTAATCATGTTGATAGCCGTGGGATTGGATATTTTGGTTTGCTTCTACGGTATAATTACGTTCAAATTCATTGACTTGAACTCTTCAACACGGGCGGAAA